GCCACGGTTTTGAAAACTTTTGTCACGTAGTGATCGTCTTCTCAATAGAACATCTTTGATAACGGCGTGGTGTTGTTGCAGGAAGTCCCGACGGAGAATACTTTTGCTGTAGTACAGGGGTGCACATGCGTACCGTCACTTGTGTCACAAAGCGCATTTGCGTACCGACGTACTTGTGAAGCTTTTCCAGAAGGCGGTTAGATCACCGGACGACAGAGTCGGTCTCCGTGTGCACAGACAGGGCTGCTGTTCACGTCGGTCTGTACAACGGAATTGTGCCAAAACTACGCCAACCGGCTGCGGAGGGAGACTCCCCCCCCCTCAGAAAATCTTCTGAACCGAGCTCCTCCAACAATGCAACATAGTTATATTAATAAAATACAAATACAAAATTCTGCAAGAAGTCTATATACAAGATGTGGGTAAAGGTGGAAAAGGAAACGGGGGACAAAAGGACACTTCTGCTACAGTGTAGATATGTCAATGAAAAAACTGAAGTCAGGCTCCTCCAACAGAGCAACATGAACAACATATATAAAACTGAAAAGCACACGGTGAACTAATACCGAAAAAAAGGCAGAGTTGGAGAGGAGCCAAAGACACAGCAGCCATCTTGTATGTGATGGAGCTGCACGCTTTGGAAAATACAAGTTATTCAGATCATTTTGACGGATATTGGACCATTGTTGAACATTGTTCTCATTATAATATTAAAACATATTATATATTAACCAATGTATTATGTTGACGTTTAACCCTTTGGTACTGTAGTGTTTAGGATCAAATATAATAAATGTAAATTTGCCATCCTTAACATATATTGTGTGTGTGTGTGGCCTAGCATTACTATACTTGTATAGGTCGCGTTAACCGAATATTTTCCGTCTATGACGGATTTTTTTTAACAATGACGGACAAATCTGAAAGCAGTCCGTCATTTTGACAGATTACAACAAACTCAGAACAGCGCCAAAGTTTCCCCGCAGCGAGGCTCCGGTGTTATGCCGTGTTATGCCAACACATCCTCACTCCCAGGTCGGCCTATGTTGACGTTATGTCAAGTCCCCTGTGTCGGCTTTTTCCAACGCAAGGCGGGGGCCCTTAGCGTCCATTTTCAGCTTTCCGGGATGTCCATATGCTTCTATGGACGCTCATGGAAGCACGGCATTCGTTTGTGTCGACTGCCCTTAAAGGCAATGTGAGCGTCCATTCTCATTGGATAACGGAGAATTGTACACCCGGAAGTAAGTATTCCCCTTACTGTCGATTGATTTTACAGTGATATCTGCACTACTCATCGACTAAAAAACACCAGATTATCCTTGTTAATTACACAACATTGATTGGTTTAAATTGTGTGCAATGCTTTTGTATTTTTCCCCTTCGATTCGGAGAAACAAATATGTTTTCGGAGTAAAGGATGGCAGAAGACACTACACTACCCAGAATCCCCAGCTATCGTTTGGACTACACCATGTGCTCTGTTTGACGTCACGTGATCTTCAATTGACGCTAAGGGCCCCCCCTTGCGTTGGAAAAAGCCGACACAGGGGACTGACATAAGTAACGTCAACATAGGCCGACCTGGGAGTGAGGATGTGTTTATACAGCTATCAGACTACTTATATCACACCAATTCATAGATGAAGTTATGGACCTTTGCTTGAGGAATTTTTTTCTAATTGGACCTTGTTGAATATTAATTGAATACCCCTGGTCTAGACTGTTAGTAGTGGCAAGAAGTCCACACTCTTTCAGTTTTTACTGTCCTTGATATAGGTATGCCTTTTTCCAAATGTCTGTCTTTTCTTCCAGAGTTATTCATCGATGGCCTGGGCTCCTTAATGGTGGCAGCCATGTGTCCATTGGCCATTAGGACCATATGCATCACAAGGACACGAATAAATACAGCACGTTCAGGCACCCTGGGCTGGGTGATGAAAACTCAAAGCGTCGTCATCTATTCTTCAAAAACAACCTGAAGTGTCTACGTTATTGATAGAAGACCACCAGAGAATATTATATGGAGCAGGGATGGGCAACTTGGATGGTGGTGGGGGCCACATCATTTATGTACTGGCCACCAGGGGGCCGCAGATTTACTTGGAACACACACGCACACACATTTCATATTGTATGTAATTATTAACAAATATACCAAGTCTGACATCTTCCTTGACATTTGTCAATCTTTCAGGGAACATCCTCTAACAAGCTCAAACAAATATCAGTTCATGTCACGGAGGTGATCTCTGGGCTCATAGATCTCGGCCTCCGTTACGGGTTGTTTAGGTTTTTGTTGTTGAAAAGTGTTCCCTTTCCCCATCTCTGTCGTTGATTGTGTGCACCTGGTGCCCTGTGTTGGCTCCTCCCCCCTCACCTGTGTCCTGTTGGGTTGATTGGGTTGGGCATAGGCTCTGGGGTTTTGCTGTTTGGGAGGTAGTGTGTGTGGGATCCTGGTGGCTGCAGGCTGTGAACAGCAGCAGCAGGATTGAGGCTGTGTGTATTGTGTTCATGCTGAAATAAATGCCCACACCGGGTTATATTTGGGACGTGCTGCCTCTGCCTCCTTGCTTGGTCTGGGCCGCTCAATTGTCAGCCTCACAGTTCACATAAATGTTATTTCAGTTTTACAAGTGGCATGTTTGTATTGAACAGGTTATTTAACAGTGGAATGAAACTATTTTTAAACTATTGGAAAGCACGGAAAATGCGTGTGCATTAAGATTAAACATTAAGATGACATAAACATGAAGTCATGAACACTAACCCAGACATTAGTTGTCTAACTTGAACCTAAGACACTTGAAGCCTCTGCTGACGCACAATAAGGGGAATGTCAACACCTGTCAACTCTTGCTCTGGAGGCTCGACATGAGACGTTGAAATATCGCGGGACAAAGACGCCGGCAGCCTTGAGAGCACATTTTTCATCATTGTTCCACAATGTTTATCATCATGAAATTAATATCTATATATTTTATACTACATGCACTCACTGCTTACCGTTTTCATACTTTATACACACTGTTCATACTGCTCATAGGGTACTGTGTAGGCTATATCTAGTGTATTCATACCCCTCACTGTTTATTCATCATTCAATTCATTCTATATTTTATTCTGTAGATTGTGTACATTACTTTTCACTTTACTACTTGTTGCACCTGGTTAGAAGCTAAACTGTATTTCGTTGTCTCAGTAGGCTACCTGTAATCTGTGCAATAACAATAAAGTTGTATCTAATCTTGAGCAGGAACAAATGTATTTACTTAGTACATCTGACATTCACGATTATCCACATTTGTGCATTCTTTATAAATGCAAACTGGTCAAGACCACTGACGGAAGTAGTTTTGAAAAGCAATAAGTGGTTCTGTCATTTACATGTTGGATTCAACCCCCCTTGTATTGATTTGTTTTAAAATGAACAGACACTTGAGTCATTCATTTGTAGTGATATAATTATTGTGGGATTTCTATTGCATCCACTTCATCTGCAACGAAGAACGCCAGCGCAATTTCCACCATTGCAAACCGAGTCAAGCCGACTCCGAGCTGTCCGACTTCAGACGAGCTTTTTGAGACCTCCCCCAGATGCAATCGGCTATTCTCGTCTACTTTCGAGGTGAGCCGCAGCTCATCTCAAACAAGCCTATTGACTAACATTGGGAAAGACACGTCTCGTCTGTAAATCGTTGGATAATTTTTTTTTTAACTAAATGAACATTTGTATAGCCCTTATTAAAAACATTCGGTCCTCAAGTTGTAAAATGTGCTAATAACGTTATTCTGAGAGTTATTTTCCTCGGCATTATGAACGCGGATCTAACTCACGGGACCGCGCCGCCCGGCACGTTCATGTGACGTGTCCAGTAGCCTACATGAGTTGTACCTTTACCCATGGACGCACAATAAGAACGAATTATATGATATGAATACTTTCGTGACGTTTCGCTCTCTCAAAAGTTGGGCCATTTTGTATTCATGCACCAATGAGCAACTCTCATAGGAATCTCATAGGAATCCCCCCCGCCTCCCACGCTGTATCCAGTTCTTATTATACATCCCCATGATTGCATGAGGTATGAAACAAAATAAGGTAATTATTATCATGATTAATTGATTTTTACACTGGGGAATTTGTTCGGAAAGACATCATAGGAATGGTACGATTAGCAAACATCTTATTTTGTTTTCTGCCAATTTACAGCTTCACACTTCAGTCCAATAGGTGGTGATAATGGGGGGCCGCGTGTGGTGCAGTGGGTTGTGCGTTTGTGTTAGGATCAGGGGTCACAGGTTCAAACCCCACTGCAGTCAGCTGGGCAAGACACTTCACCCCAAATTGCTCCTGTGGGGATTAGTATTGAGTATGACAAGTGACATGTAATGTAATAATGCTCCATAGCGTTGGTTGTCAACTGCCAATAAACACCAGCGAAGAAGAAACTGGACCCTTCTACATAGTGGGATTTATTCTGAAATACATTAAAAGTAGTATTTTACTAATATTTTATTTGAACATTTACAAGTGTACATAATATATATATTTTTATGATTTTGTTTTATTTAGTTTTCTGTCAATTTAAAGCTCCAGTCCAATAGGTGGCGATGATGTTCCAGAACGTTGGTTGTCAACTGCCAATAAACACCAGCGAAGAAGAAACTGGACCCTTCTACATAAGAGGCTTCTCAATACTCAAATTTCCCTTCCTCGACTGCTCGACTCCTCGGTCCTCCGGTAGTGACCCGGAAATGAATTTCAGCGCGCCATTTTGAAGGACGTCTCATTTCTCTAAATGCACACCGAGGACCGAGCATCGAGCGTCGAGGAGCTATAACCGAGGATACACTGATGGTTCCTCCATGGCTCCTCCACGGATGCATTTCCGGGAACGGTGGAGGCGTGACGCACGGCCGGACTTATCTCAGCCAATGACAGCTCTGCATGCATCCCCTGGATATTATTTTAGAAACTGCTTTCATCGCGTCGCGATGTTTCCAGAGAGAACAGCTGTAAGGTCCATGCAGAAAGCAGAGCAGTGTGTATAATATATATCACTCAGTATAACAGGCCTACTCTCTTTATTTGCTTTAGTTTAGTAGATATCTACAAACAAAGAGTCGATATTTTTCTAAGACATTGCTTCACATAATAAAATACACACCGGCTTATGCTTTAGGACTAGGAGCTGTAGGTGTGTGTTGTACAGTGTGTAGGTGTGTGTTGTACAGTGTGTAGGTGTGTGTTGTACAGTGCGTAAATGCGGCGGACAGACGGGTCTCAGTTGGTTTGGTGTCCTCTGCTTACTTTTAATAGGCCTACTTGTAAATACAACTTTTGGCCGTAATTTCAATTCCCCATTTCAGCGACCAGAGAGGGGGGGGGGGGGGATATATCCAGTCTCTGATTGTGTTACGTTATTATGAGAGTGCTCTCATACTTTAAATTGTATATATTTATATACATATATTTGTGTGTGTGTGTCCGCATCTGTAGCCTGTTATTGTCTCATTATACCGCACTCTCAATGAATTCAAAGTAAATATGTGGGGGAACAATGTTCAGCTGATCTAACAGAGATCCAGCGCTATGACAAAACACTCGACAGCTGATGCAGCTGTTGCCACGTAATAATGAACGGACGTCTCTTTAAAATGACCGCTCAGAGGAGAGGAGTTCTCATTTCTTTAAACGTCTGCTGCTTCCCCTCCTCTCTCCTCGGTTCCCCTCCTCGGTCCTCCGCTCGCATCTCCTGTGGGCGGGTCTAAGTCTCGAGGAGGGGAGTCGAGGAGGGGAGTCGAGGAGGGGAAATTTGAGTATTGAGAAGCCTCTATAGTGGGATTTATTCTGTAATACATCAGAGGTAGTATTTTATTAAATTACATTTTAAATATGACCTTGTTTATTTAAACGTTTACAAGTGTATAATGTATAATCATTTTTGATTAATGTCGTTTTATTTCGTTTTCTGTCAATTTAAAGCTCCAGTCCAATAGGTGGCGATGATGCTCCAGAACGTTGGTTGTCAACTGCCAATAAACACCAACGAAGAAGAAACTGGCTCCTCCTCCAACAACAATGGCGTCCTCCACCGGAGACGGCGTGAGTGAAAAAGGAAAGAATTCAAAAAAGACTAAAAGCCAAAGTAAGTGATTAATATTGTCGAGTTTAGCAGAAGTATTTAACACCTAATGACCCGTTTGTTACTAGTCAGAGCTGAGTTTTGTCGTCTATTTCTACCTTGTTGACATGTTTTGCAAGGCACGCATGTATTAGCTTTAACATGAGGTGGAGAAGTACTCAGATCTGGTCCATCCATCCATCTTCTCCCGCTTATCCGTGGTCGGGTCGCGGGGGTAGCAGTTCCAGCAGAGCCCCAAACTTTCCTTTCCCTGACCACAACACTCAGATCTGGTATTTTAGTTAAAGTAGAAGTACTCAGATCTCGTACTTGAGTAAAAGTAGAAGTACTCAGATCTTGTACTTGAGTAAAAGTAGAAGTACCAGAGTGTAGGAATACTCTGTTACAGTAAAAGTCCTGCTCTCAAAATGTTCCTCAAGTAAAAGTAGAAAAGTATTCTCATCAAAATATAGTGAAAGTAGCGACAGTGAAAGTAGTCGTTGTGCAGATTGGTCCATTTCAGAATAATATATATGATATGTTTTATAATGATTGATCATGAAAGTGTTCTCAAAGCTGGTGAAGGTGCAGCTAGTTTGAATGGCTTTGTATACTGCAGGGTAGCTGGTGGATTTACTCCAGGTGGAACTAAAGTCTGATTCAACACTTGATTATATTTCACATCATTCATCCACATCTGTGAAGTAACTAAAGGGATTAAATACATGGAGTGGAGGAAAAGTACAAAGTAGCATAACATTTAAATACTCAAGTAAAGTACAAGTAGCCTACCTCAAAATTGTACTTAAGTACAGTACTTGTAGTCAGAGATGTCAAAAGTGCACACATCCTTAACTCAAGTAGAAGCACAGATACTCTGGTGAAAGTAGAAGTACTGAATAAACTTCTTTACTCAAGTCAAAGTAAAGAGGCTTTGAAATGTACTTCAGTAAAAAGTACCCATAACTAGCAGCTGTTTTAAAGAGTACCTGACCTCCCTTTATATTAATAGAACAATAATGTCATTGTTAGCTAATGAATGTTTCCATGCTGAACAACGGCAACATGACAACGTTTCCATTGGTCCCTCTTCTTTAGAGAAGACCAGGAAATGATGGATACACGGATCGTGTTCAAATCAATAGGCACGCAATGACTCTAAAGAATAATGATCACGCACCAAACACACATTCAGACTAAAGGAACCAGCTGTTTGGAAAATGAGAGAAGTAGAAAGTACAGGTATTTGAGTTCAACATGTAAGAAGTAGAAAGTACAGGTATTTGGGTTCAACATGTAAGAAGTAGAAAGTACAGGTATTTGAGTTCAACATGTAAGAAGTAGAAAGTACAGGTATTTGAGTTCAACATGTAAGAAGTAGAAAGTACAGGTATTTGAGTTCAACATGTAAGAAGTAGAAAGTACAGGTATTTGAGTTCAACATGTAAGAAGTAGAAAGTACAGGTATTTGAGTTCAACATGTAAGAAGTAGAAAGTACAGGTATTTGTGTTCAACATGTAAGAAGTAGAAAGTACAGGTATTTGTGTTCAACATGTAAGAAGTAGAAAGTACAGGTATTTGAGTTCAACATGTAAGAAGTAGAAAGTACAGGTATTTGAGTTCAACATGTAAGAAGTAGAAAGTATAGGTATTTGAGTTCAACATGTAAGAAGTAGAAAGTACAGGTATTTGAGTTCAACATGTAAGAAGTAGAAAGTACAGGTATTTGAGTTCAACATGTAAGAAGTAGAAAGTACAGGTATTGAGTTCAACATGTAAGAAGTAGAAAGTACAGGTATTTGAGTTCAACATGTAAGAAGTAGAAAGTACAGGTATTTGAGTTCAACATGTAAGAAGTAGAAAGTACAGGTATTTGTGTTCAACATGTAAGAAGTAGAAAGTACAGGTATTTGTGTTCAACATGTAAGAAGTAGAAAGTACAGGTATTTGGGTTCAACATGTAAGAAGTCAAAGTAAAAAGTGGTCAGAGAAATAAGTAGTGGAGTAAAGTACTGATACCAGAAACATGTACTTAAGTACAGTAACAACGTATTTGTACTCCACTACTTCCCACCTCTGCTTGTAGTAAATCTACTTACTTACTTTACAACACTGTATTTTGCAAACATTTGTTCCTGGTTTTATTCGTTTTCAATTCACATCAAGGCAAAACCACAGACACTTTATTGTTAGATTGTGTTATTGTTTTTAAGAACCGAATTGTCTGTGTCCTCAGTGGATGAATCTGAGCTCCTGAGTGTTCCTGACGGATGGAAAGAGGCGCCGTTCACGAAGGACGATAACCCCCGCGGTCTGATGGAGGAAAGCAGCTTCGCCACCCTCTTCCCCAAATACAGAGAAGCCTACCTGAAGGAGTGCTGGCCGCTGGTGGAGAAGGCCTTAGGAGAAGTCGTAAGTCATTATTATATTATTAAAAGGACGTTTTTTTGTAACAAGTGTCTGCATGCACAAGGAATTGAACTTCGTTTGTCTATAATATGCCACAGGACTCTGAGGGTTTAGATAGTTCACTTTAGTCTAAGTCAGGGGTGCCCACACTTTTTGGGCTGGTGAGCTACTTTTGAAATGACCAGCTCACCGAGGTCTACCAACCAAAAATAAAATCCCAAATTGCAAGGGTTGCTGAATAACACGTTTTATTTATACATGGGATAATAGGGCTGCAACAAACGACTAATTTGATAATCGATTAATCTATCGATTAATGAAACGACTAATCGACTATTCGGACTATTACTGTATGCCTTGCACAATTTCTCAAACGCTCTTATTTAGCTCAACTTTTAGATTTAGCTTGAGGTTGTTTTAGGCATGTGGAAACTAACAAGACAATAAAGATGAATACTTGATTCAAAAATACATATATTATTAAATTAACAAATTGTGAACAAAACTAACATTGCTTTTTATTTAAATTAAATAAATAATATTTCACATCAAAAGAAACAACAATGTTTTAACAAATGGTATTAAATAATCTGATGACAGAACTGTAAACAGAATAGCTGAAACTTTAACAAAATAAAGAGTAACTCAGTTTCCTCTAATCATTAACCCATGTTAGTATCATTGAGTTAACTCCGTGTGTTGCTGCTAGCATACATAACACCTGACGTGGAAACGTTACTCGTGGACGGGGCTACAGAGCTGCTAGAAAGACAGTCGAACCCGGTGCATTCCTCCGTCTGGATGTGGAGCACTTTTGATAAATGTTTAGACAAATTGCTCGTGTTGCCGCCCTCACATGCTGAACTCTCTTGGCAAGGAGCATTGTCCACCTCAAGACGGGTAAAGTTTAACCACCTTGGAGGGCTTCTCTCCGCCATCCCCGCCGTGCGTTGCTGCATATAGCAGCTGCGTGTGTGTAAACTGCCCCGCCCCCTCGCACACAGACGGGAGAGAGATCTCGTCTGGATTGGAAACGCATTTGTTTTGTCTTTTTGCATATTAGAAACGAGTTGGCGACACTAAGACTGCGAGATAATGTTTGTGTAGCAATAATACACCTTTCTCTTTTTCAACTCGCTCCACTAAGGGAAGTCGCTGTCATATGCCTTGTGAACACTCCGATAATGCCTCTCCACGTTACCTTTCTTTGGCAGAGCGACGCTTGCTTTACAAATAAGCCAAATAACCTTTGAATGTGACATCACAACAAAATATTCTTCCTCCCATTCTGGGTGGAAGTGGTTTGTCATTAGCTTCTTGCTCGGTCCCGCACTTAATTTGAGTTTTCCCGGCACTTGACTGATTTTGTATCGCTTTGCATTCTGGGTTAACAGACTGGAAAGCGATAGGTTGCTTTTTCTGTCAATCAAGTAAACTCCTGAATTAAGTGGCAGGGAGGCCAAGGGAGGAGGGATCAAAACCTGCTTTGTCTATTTTAACGGAGCTGGATTTTTTATTTTTTATGAATGACTCGTGATCTACCAGCATTGCCCCCGCGGTCGACGTACTGGGCACCTCTGCACTAAGATATCAACAAGAACAAAACCTTTTGGCACTGACTCAATGTGTTCTATTAATACTTATCAAAAAAAGTATTGGTGATAAAAAGTATTATTCATCTCTACCTGAGCCCCCTCCCTCCAATATGCCTGGATTAGTTCCTTAATGATAGAACATTGGATATATATATCGCTTTTCGTAGTTCTGACAACACTTTACAAGCAAATAAAATAACTACTAAGCCAAGTAGAACAATTAGGAGAAGGAGGGGGTGTGGGATAGAAGGTTAAAGGTCAAATGTAAAAAGTTGAGTTTTGAAAGATATGAGAGTGTTGGAATTGTGACAGGGCAGAGCGTCGGACTCGAGTGCCGATTTTCCGGACTCGTGACTCGACTCGGACTCGCGCACTGATTGACGCGACTCGGACTTGGACTCGTGAATTCTCGCGTACGCTGACTTGGACTCGGACTCCTGAATTTTTCCCCCCACGATGACTCAGACTCGATTTGTACATTGACGCTCTGACTTGGACTCGGACTTGAGCAAGTTTTCTCTGGAGTCTGATGTCCTCTATCCTGGCGTGTGCACCTGCGAGGCGAGTTCACGTACCCCGCTATTCCAGTCTAGAGATGTCTAGAGACACACCCCGCATCGTGCTGTAGGCTTTCACACATTCTGCTTCCACATTGGAAAAGAGCAGCGCAAAATGCTCGTTATGTGGAAACAAGATTGAAGAGAAGGCTCCGTAACACATTACTCTAAGGATCGAGTTCAGACATATAGGCTGTCTTGAACACTCATCAGAGTAACATGATCTAATCAGAAAGCACATGGCTACTTAACATGCAGAATGAGTCATTTTGCATGCTAAGTAGCCATGTGCTTTCTGGGGCTCAATCTTTATCAGTAAACTGATGTAACCGGTAAAAGTTCCTTCAAAATAAGAGTCCCGATCTTATTACTATCAAAATAAAAGTGCAAAACAAAAACGTTACCATAGGAAAATATTGGCATACAAATGTAATCACTTCTCTAAAAGGTAACTCATTTTAAATATAATTAGACATATTAAACTCATTTACAATAATAATAATAATATTAATATTAGTAATAAGCTTTATATTTGTATAGCACCTATTACAGGAATTGTAGCCAAACTCGCTTCACAGCAGTTCAATCGACAGCTTAGTATAACATGACAGGATAAAAGTAATGAAGAGAAGCAGCTACATTTCAACACATATATCCACGAAGGTTAATACATGAAGACTTGTGACTCGGACTTGACTTGGACTCGAACTCGGACTCGAACATAGGTAATGATGACTCGGACTTGACGTGGACTCTTCTTAGGTGACTCAGGTAATCTCGACTCGGACACTCCTTGGGTGACTCGGACTTGGACTCGGACTCGAACACAGGTAATGATGACTCGGACTCGACTTGGACACTCCTTGGGTGACTCGGACTCGACTACGACTCTCCCTTGGTGACTCGAACTCAGGTAATGATGACTCGGACTCGACTCGGACACTCCTTGGGTGACTTGGACTCGGACTCGACTACGACTCTCCCTTGGTGACTCGGACTCGAACACAGGTAATGATGACTCGAACTCGACTCGGACACTCCTTGGGTGACTTGGACTCGGACTCGACTACGACTCTCCCTTGGTGACTCGGACTTGGACTCGGACTCGAAGAGTGGTGACTCGAGAGTGACTTGGACTCGTGAATTGGTGACTTGACTACAACACTGGCAGAGCGTAACTCCATGTTTTTTTAAATGAAGCACCTGGTGATGTTCTAATCCTGTGTATCGTGAATCTTCCCAGCACATCAAAGCCACTCTGGATCTGATCGAGGGAAGCATCTCCGTTTGCACCTCGAAGAAAACGTATGACCCGTACGCCATCGTGAGAGGCAGAGATCTCATCAAGCTGCTGGCAAGGAGCGTTCCCTTCGAACAGGTAACGTTTCAGGAAGTCTTTGAGATGTTGTGATTACTGTTGCCTTGATGCATTTTATAACACATGCCACACAGTAGAGTGTTTTTCCTGAAGGTTTTCTCTTCCTGCTTTTAGTAGGGCCGGGACTCGATTAAAAAAATTAATCTAATTAATTAGAGGCTTTGTAATTAATTAATCGAAATTAATCGCATATAAATATTTGACCTAAGAACAGTGAGAAGCAATTTTTTTCACATGGATTTTAGTATACCATTAGGCGCATTCACACCACAGTACTTTTCCCACAAAGGTTCATGAGAACTTAGTTCATGAGAACAAATGAAGCCGCTGACGTCACTTCTTCTTCTTCTGCTTTGGGTTTACTGGCAGGCCGCAAACCACTTCACGGCGTATACTGCCGCCCAAAGTCCCCGGCCGGAAGTCCCCGGAGTTGGGGACTGGCTTCAGTAGAAGCTGCTGGGAGTCCCAGCAGCTTCTACTGAAGCCTTCCGAGTAAATCGCCAGAACGCCGACACCTCCTCATCTCCACCGCTCCCATGTTTTATTTTGTGTTGCCATAAGTTAGTCTCTCTGCGTTTCTGCGCTGGGCTAATGCTAATGCTAATAATGCTAATGCGAGGATAATAAAATGGCGGCTTCACAAAACTTTTTGGGAGTTTTAAGGGGCGTGGTTTGCAATCCGCCCAGCCAATCAGAAATGTAGCTCTTTTCTCACAAGAGAGCCGTACGAAAGTCCCTGCTCTCTAGCAGCTCTCTGCTCTCTAGCAGGGACTTTCGTGGGGGTAAAAAGGTTCTCATGAACTCATTTTAGTACCGGCTCTTTTTGGTGTGAACGCGATAAAAGAGGCTAACGTCCACGCTAGCTTCCACGCTAGCTGCTATATGTTTTGCATTGAGGTGATACTTGAGGCTTGATGTGCTGCGGTGATATGCGAATTCCTTTTTGCATAATTTGCACACAACCGTGCTCTTATCGACGCTTCCATCCGTCCGTTTTTTAAAACAACATTTCCCACTGTTGTTCACTGTGGTTTGTTGTTGTCTGAAGTCATGAACGTTAGTTGGTGCTCCAGTATAATCGGTACGCCTGAAACTCATTCAGTGAGAAACGTTCCGTGGTGCAAAAATAAGTGCGATTAAAATGCGTTAATTTTTGTGTAATTAATTAATCTTAATTAACGCGTTAAAGTCCCGGCCCTAGCTTTTAGACATTTGTGATATCTGCTCTGTCAAAATCAGTCGCATCAACCCCCGAAACACATTTTGAATCAAGTTCAGACATTTTAAGGATAAAAAATTGCAGTTTTTGGTCCCCATTAAACGTCTAAATCTACCCATGTCATCCAAATCCGTCCACCGGGAATACATATCAACCCTGAAACACATCTCGTATTGATTATCTCATTTTAAACTCGTAGCATCAAGGATGTATATTTTACTCGGATAAGGGGAAACCATGGAAGAAAAATGGTGTGTTTGTTTGCTTATGTGTGTGTTATCCAATGAAACACACACAACACACACACACCGCAAGTTGTAAAGCCTCTGTTCATAGTACCTGGACAAGCTTTAACGCTGTATTTATCATCTGAATTTGGTGATAATAGTTAGGTAATCTTAAAGCCAATGTTGTTGTTAGGGATGTCCCGATCACCTTTTTTTGCTCCCGATCCGATTCCGATCATTTGATTTTGACAATCTGCGATACCGATTTTTCCCGATCCGATCTTTATGCAATGCATTAAGAGAGAAAAAGGTAACAGGTAACGGCTGGTCGTCCAACGCGATGAATTCAGCTATCCTTGGCTGCTATTTTTTTTGCCTTTTCACTGTTCTGGGGCAGTTTCTCTTTCCCTTTTAAAAGCCTCTGAAAGTGTCGGTTGCTTCAGTGCCGTTACCCGAGTGGCCGCTGTGTACTCGTGGTGTTGGTGTTTGTTTCTCAGGTGGCGTGTTAGATTGGTCGTGTTGAACGTAGCTCTTTTCTTTCCACCACGCGGAACCTCCGCCTTGCAAACATTGCATCTGGCTGTTACACTGCCTTCGCTTTCAATTTTATAATACTTCCAAACTCCTGACATTTTCTCTGTCCGACTCCCGAGTCACCAGCTGAACGTAGCCTCTCGTTAGCTAACTGCTACTATTAGACACCGCGCCCTCTCTGTTGCCAGATTTGAGAGAGGTCTGAAAACAAGCCCAACAGAAGCAACACATACATGATGTTGTGTCATTTAAAACTAAGGCCTCAGGATGACTTTAAGACGTGAACATGGTCATTTTTGTTTTGTAACATTAAATAATAATAAAAAAATATTTTATAATAAAAAAATTCCCCATCTCCGATTTTTGAAAATCACATGATCGGCTCCGATCCCCGATCACGTGATCGGATCGGGACATCTCTAATTGTTGTTTTTAGTTTTGGGAAGGAGCGGTGATCACTGAACTTAAAAAGCTTCAAAAATGTATTTCTCGTCTGAAAATGTAATGTTCTGAAAGCCAAGAAGCCCCAAAATAAGTGTTTATTTTTACATAAATCCACGTTTATCTTGTGATGCGACATCTGACTGATTTCGTTAGCGCGGGTCACAAGTGTGTTGACAGAAGACCAATGCTGAGTTTCTGATTATTGCGATGTCTTGCCGCCCCGTTCTTATATCTGTTTTGCTTCCAGGCTGTGCGGATATTACTGGACGATATGGCGTGTGATATCATCAAAATCGGGACACTGGTGAGGAACAGAGAGCGGTTTGTGAAGCGACGACAGCGGCTGATTGGCCCAAAAGGCTCCACACTCAAAGTGAGTCCCATTTTAAAAACAAGCAGCTCTTCATCCAACACACCTCACACTGATCTCAGAGATACAGATTCCCTTTTAAGAGTTGGTGATTGTGGAAAATGTTTGACTGTTACCTCGAGGTAACTAGGCAATGTAATGCAGGTCACAAACATGTAGGATTTGGGATAATAGCAAGCATCTATCGATTCCATAAGAGACTTGATATGGGGCATCTCTAAAAATATGGTCTTCAGGAAAATAGTCTTCAGGCAATACCAGAAAAAGTGTTGAAGTGGTCGACAGGTGTTTTTTAAAGTAGAGACACTACATACTGATATACACCTGAACATCAGCAGGAGAGGACTCTTTAAAGTAGAGACACTACATACTGATATACACCTGAACATCAGCAGGAGAGGACTCTTTAAAGTAGAGACACTACATACTGATATACACCTGAACATCAGCAGGAGAGGACTCTTTAAAGTAGAGACACTACATACTGATATACACCTGAACATCAGCAGGAGAGGACTCTTTAAAGTAGAGACACTACATACTGATATACACCTGAACATCAGCAGGAGAGGACTCTTTAAAGTAGAGACACTACATACTGATATACACCTGAACATCAGCAGGAGAGGACTCTTTAAAGTAGAGACACTACATACTGATATACACCTGAACATCAGCAGGAGAGGACTCTTTAAAGTAGAGACACTACATACTGATATACACCTGAACATCAGCAGGAGAGGACTCTTTAAAGTAGAGACACTACATACTAATATACACCTGAACATCAGCAGGAGAGGACTCTTTAAAGTAGAGACACTACATACTAATATACACCTGAACATCAGCAGGAGAGGACTCTTTAAAGTAGAGACAATACATACTGATATACACCTGAACATCAGCAGGAGAGGACTCTTTAAAGTAGAGACACTACATACTGATATACACCTGAACATCAGCAGGAGAGGACTCTTTAAAGTAGAGACACTACATACTGATATACACCTGAACATCAGCAGGAGAGGACTCTTTAAAGTAGAGACACTACATACTGATATACACCTGAACATCAGCAGGATGGGTGTCTTTTTTTAAATGATCACTCAGAGGAAATGATTTCTCTTTTTCTTTATGCCTGTGGGAGTGGAGTAGAGTTCAGGCGGTGCAAACTTGGGCTTGAAGAAGGGCAATTATGTCATGTTGTGGTTTGTCTAAATACCACATGTCACTGGGTGGCAGCATTGCCTCCTGTCCGCTCAATGTTTGAAAGTTTACCTTTTGAATAAAGCAGTTTTATTTTACCTCAGGAGTTAAAAGCGTTCCTTTTTGTTTTTGTCCCATTTCTCTCCAGGCGTTAGAGTTGTTGACCAACTGCTATGTGATGGTGCAAGGAAACACCGTGTCGGCCCTGGGGCCCTTCAACGGTCTGAAGGAGGTAAGAACTATCCTCTAAGCCTCAAATGCCTCTTTCACACCAACGCGGTTCCCGTTCTAGCTCCGTGCTTGCGCTCTTCTGGTTCGGAACCGGTTCTTCATTTCAGCCCCCGTTTTGTTCACACTGCCCAGAGCTCGACTGGTGCTGCGGCTGCTGCGTCATGACGTCACCGTTTACGTCACTGATTTTTCTCCCCAACGGCGCTCACAACAACAACAATAGGGAACTGCGTCGGGTCGATGATCGTGTTGCTTTTAATCATACGAAGCCAGATTAAATTAAATAACGACTTCTCCAACCTTATACTTTGCTCCAGAGTGCCGTGGTTCATTGTTTATTAATGTGTTTCTGCAGCATTTACCGACCACTGCACTGTTGGCTGCTCTTCCACAGGAGTTTATTCTCCCGTTAGCTCCCGGTTAGCTCACACTGCAGCGGCCGCTCTAAAGTATTCACTGTCTGACTGTCACACAAGCAGCTGATACATATCCCCAGTTCACCTTAGCCTAAGTGAATGTGTGTCAGTCTGAATGGACGCTGTTTGGCATCACAACGCTGTTATGAAAGTTTCTCTGGTATAAAATGGGTGATGTTAGCATAGCAACCGAAGCTAATCTGACTATAACTTGACTACTTGTTGCTATCCTATTGTGGCATAAGCCGTTTTCTACAGGCACATTTTACCGGCGTATTTTTCATTATGATTCTACTTGTGATAGTCGGACACGACAACCTGTGCAGCCCATGTATTGATTCCATCCGATAGCTGCTATAATACAAAACAACACGTCTGCCTCTCTCCACAATGATCAATAACAGTGAACGGATGGTCAAAGTAAGGTACAAATAAACAGAATCACACACTTAGCTATGGCACTGTCGTGTACATTGAATCAAAAAAATATTCGATTAATCGTTCCCATCCCTAGTTTTAATCAGGATTTTAAATCAATTATATATATATATATATATATTTTTTTTTTTTTAAATATACAATTAGAACAAAGAGATGCAAAAAAAAACAACTTTCAAGGTACAACATTTTTAAAATAAATACATTCTCAAATAGTGTCTGTCATGTTCAACAGGGGCAAGAAAAAGCTTTAAAACACGTTTCTGGTCCCCATCTAGCGTACATTTTCCTTGAAAATGAAAGATTAGGTCATCGTGGCGGTTTTGGCGCAGTGGTTAGAGCGTTGGTCATCAGATCAAGGGGTGTTGGGGAACTCCAGTTCGAATCCCGCCTCGGCCGCCACTGCGTCAGGCTGTTGTGTCCTTGGGCAAGACACCCGCATTTGCTCCTGTGGGTAATGTCTGCAGTAATGACTCTTACATGTCTAATATGTGTAATGTGTACTTGTAAAGCGCTTTGAGCACCTGTAAAAGCGCTCTAATAAAAAATGTAATGCATTATTATTATTATTATTATTATCGTCATCAGCGTCATGTTGTAAACAAATAATTGTTTTTTTTTTACAAAACAACCAAAAAATAAATAACTTTTACAATGACAAAAAATAACAAGTATGAGTTCACAGGTCCTGCTCATAATTAGAGTTATATATAATATATGATTTGTTTTTATATGTAGACATCCTTTTAGTTACCAGCTCATGTTGTGATCCCTGAAATGTTGAGTACCCCAAAGTTTTATGATAGAAATGTAAAGTACGGGTCCCCAGCACATAGAAACTGCCGGGTGCTAACTTACATATGTTGGACAATTTGTACAATTAGCATAAGTTAGCATATGCAGAGAATAGCTGAAATATGGCTAGGTTGATTTGGACCATTTTGGTGTGAGGATGTTGAATCAATTTCAGACATTTAACGATCAAATATGGCAGTTTTAGGTCCCCTTAAACATTCAAACCTACCCAAATGTAATCGAAATCAGCCCACAGAGAACAAATATGGCCACTTTCTGGTTAAAACTGCCATTTCTTTGCCTGAAAATGTCAGAAATGTATTCAACATCCTCAAAAAACCCTTAAATTGTAAAAATCTGCCATTTTTTTAAACTGTTGTCTGCATATGCTAATTAAAATGGATAGATAGATAGATAAGACTTTATTTATCCTGACGGAAATTGTTGTGCCAGTTACAAAATACAATAAACACAGCAGCATAATAGTACAACTGTACACTAACCCCTCGATTCCACCGGGTCCGTCTGCGTGGTGCCACGGCAGCGCCGCGGTTTTGGTCCGGCGTCATACCCCACCGGGCGCGTTTCAGAAGCGGAGCGTCTTGCGTGCCGGCTCGCAGTTTTTGTTGATTTGGGCATATTTCCTGGACAGGCTACTTTGTGCAGACAAAGTTAATAATACTTGTAATATTCCAGTTATAAACGACATGAATCAAAGATGTGTTGCTGTATTTTAGTGGCATTCGTCATCATAATTATTCTATATATATATAATTTACACAGTGCCTGTAAACCGGAGGAGAACGCTGGAATTTTCCTCCGACTTGAAAGACTACGGAGGGATAGGGTCTGCAAAATGTGTTTATTTTGGGGATTGACTGGATGATGCTCTGACCGTTCCACTTCCTGCCCGGCACCATATATGCAACGCGTCGCGTCGAAAATAAACTTGCATCCTATTTCAAGCGGAGCCCAGCGCCGAGACGCTTCTGGGACGCCTCTGGTGGAATCGCACCCATCGACTAGAGTGGCCGCGATCTTTGTGAACGCCGCGGCACGGCCGTAACGCGACGCAGACGGACCCGGTGGAATCGAGGGGTAACAGTGTAGTAAAATATCTACATTTAATTTCAAACCTTTATTTAGACAGATAAATCCCATTGAGATCATTGATCTCTTTTTCAAGGGAGACCTGCTCATGAAACAGACGGCCACACAATTAATGTGAATATTAACGGTAATTAGTAGTGCACTTAATGCCACTTATGTTCCTGTTGCACAATATATCTTAATGCTTTTAATGTTGTTGTTTATTTGCCTTGCCTTTTTAATTATCACACAGAGAGCAGAGGATGGATAACCTTTAGATAATCGATGCATGTCTCCATCTCTTTTGTTCAGGTACGCAAAGTGGTGATGGACACAATGAAGAACATTCACCCCATCTACAACATCAAGGTGAGTCCAAACGTCCGGGAGAAACCTGCATATATTCAGATATGTGATGCATGCCCGATGAAGATATTTTCCATCCTTGTTCTCGATCTCCTGACTGACATAAATCTCTCTGGGTTCGATTGCCAAGGCTGGCTCGACCTGGAGCTGAGGGCATGCATCACAACATCACTCAATGTGAACATAGACTCCATATTTCTACTAGTTACAAGATTTGAAATGTATCGTTATCTAACAAAACCCTGAAGCAGCCATTTTGTGTGACTGCTCAAAGACCCTTTACAGTGGTACAAATAAATACACCAAAATGGAGCTAATAAAACAATATTTAGCACAAGAAACAGCATTCGTCTCACATTAAAAGCCAGTTTGAAAAGGTGAGTTTTGTTGTAAAAATAACCATCAGTTGGTCATGTTCCTAGTCTTGGGAACCGATACTGAACGAGCGGCTGAGATCAGACAACACTAGGGTTGGGTACCGAGAACCGGTTCCAACATTTCGATTCCAACGGCATCATTTAGAAATGTGAATTTCGGTTCCGCTTTTCGATGCCTGAGGAAATGTTTCTCGCCGCTCTCCGTAGCCTACCGTATGACTGCGGCGGGGCGGGAAATGTAGCGTTGTATCTACACTTCCTACAGCGTAACCTGAGACCAGGGCCGGCCCGTCGCACTGGCGTTATAGATGTTCGCCTAGGGCGCCAGATCTGTGGAGGCGCCGCGCTGACAGCTCTGGGAGGGGAACAAAATGTTTTGACCGTTGGGGCTCATCCTAATTTTCGGCCTTGATGTAACAATATTCATAATTAAGTAAATGTAACACCCTTTTCATCCCGGTTACACTTTTCATTTGCCCTGTACGATGGGCGCTGTAAGTGATGAAAATGGGGGATGTTGGCTTATCTGGCAACCGCAGCTGACAGCCAAAGTGCGAGTGAGCGAGGGAGAAAGGGAGGGCGCTGTTGTTATTAGCATCTGGTGCTAGCTGCTCTAACGGAAGAAGAAGATGTTTCTACAATGATGTGGAGGGAGAGTCCTCTCCAGTCAGACTGAGAGGCTGATAACTACAGCTCAGTGAGGTAAAGGACTCTGAGGGTTTAGATAGTTCACTTTAGTCTAAGTTGTCTCAGTGGGTCTCAAACGTTTTGATCACAATTTATGTAAACACATATTTCCAAGGCACTCCTTTATAATTATTGGGATAAAACAGGTTTGAAATCATTCCAATGTATACTATAGGACAGTACACCAGACATATCGTTTTAAACTGGAGATAAAAAAATATGCATAAATAAAATACGTTACATGTATTGGTTATTGGCTATGGTAGGTTACTGGTTATGTTCACATACTTATTTAATTATTAAAATGTAAACCGATCTTTTTCAAATGGGTGTTTAGAGTTGTACCCCCTAGATCTAGTCTCTAGTAATTCTGCTTAAAGTGCACCAGATTGAAGCATTTTACTTTAAAATGTTCAAACATTTCTTCCAGGTATGCCTGAGAGGCAGATCTGCTTGTTTTTTTCAACAAGAACTGTCCTTTAAAAGTTGGACTGTTGTAGCTTCAGTGGTTCTCAGGTTACAGTTACATAGCAGTGAATATAAACAGACTGATTAATGTGAATATTACTGTAAACTAACCTGTGTGAAAGTTTCTCGAATAAATGTACTTTTTTTGGTGGAAGAAGCCATTTATAATTGTTTCACCCTGCCCCTCAAAGAATCGGAATTGAGAACCGTTAAGAACCGGAATCGAAAAGTAGAATCGACATCGGAATCAGAATCGTGGAAATTCAAACGATACCCTACTCAACACTCAATCTGAACATGGACTAGTCACAAGATTAATAATAATTATGATATCATTATCTAACAAAACCCTGGGGCAGCCAGTGTGCGTGAGACTGCTCAAAGACACTTTACTGTGGATAATCCTCCACTGTTTCCAAAGATCAAGTCACGGGTGGGGATGCGTCTTCTGTTTTAACGTTCAGTTGCTCAAGCTTTTTAAGATTTAAGTATATGGTGTTTTTCTAACATTAATTGGCAGACGACAGACCAGTTGAACTTGTAGAAAAAGAGCCTGAGATAGAAAGCAGAAAGACTGGTACTGATCTTCATAACGACTACATAGCGTTCACACCGGAATAAGTCCCTGAGGGAGGATTAGGCAAATGAAGCCGCTGACGTCACTTCTTCTTCTTCTTCTGCTTTGGGTTTACTGGCAGGCCGCAAACCACTTCACGGCGTATACTGCCACCCGGAGTCCCCGGCCGAAAGTCCCCGGAGTTGGGGACTGGCTTCAGTAGAAGCTGCTGGGAGTCCCAGCAGCTTCTACTGAAGCCTTCCGAGTAAATCGCCAGAACGCCGACACCTCCTCATCTCCACCGCTCCCATGTTTTATTTTGTGTTGCCATAGGTTAGACTCTCTGCGTTTCTGCGCTGGGCTAATGCTAATGCTAATAATGCTAATGCGAGGATAATTAAATGGCGGCTTCACAAAACTATTTGGGAGTTTTACGGGGCGTGGTTTGCAATCCGCCCAGCCAATCAGACATAGGAACCTTTTTCTCCCACGAAAGTCCCTGCTCTCTAGCAGGGACGGAAAAAGGGGTGAAAAGGTTTTCATGAACTAATTTTAGTTCCGGCTCTTTTTGGTGTGAACGCAACATTTCGGAACCATATCGGAACTAAAGTGGGAAAAGTACTGCGGTGTGAACGCGCCTCATGACTAAAATCCTTCATCCGGTTAAATATTGTTAATAAAAATACCAATTGTATTTCATTAAAGTTCAAGAAAGGATGGTTTGCGGACAAAAAAAAACTGTCTTTTCTTCAATTCCTGTATTTTATTGTATCGCAATGTGAGTTTTTTCCAATATCGTGCAGCCCTAGTTCTAAATATAGTGTGTATATATATGGCTGATGTATAAAGTATGTAATTAACAGACAGGACATTAGTGTTGTGTTTCTGCTGCGTTACAACACTAAGCCTTATGTACTGCTCAACATGACTGACTTTTACCCCATTTCCATTTTTCTGGGACCCTTCAGACTCTGATGATCAAACGCGAGTTGTCCAAAGACACCGACCTGCGCTCTCAGAGTTGGGAACGTTTCCTGCCCAAATTCCGCCACAAAAACCTGGCCAAACGCCGGGAACCCAAGAAGAAGAGCGTGAAGAAAGAATACACACCATTCCCCCCCGCGCAGCCCGAGAACACGGTGAGGAGGCGCTGCTCAGATGATCAGGGGGAAACATGCACATTTCTGTATCTATTATTACATAGCTTATCACACTTATGCTCATTTGTGTTGGGATAAGAACCACATTGTTATTATTTAGAAATACATGTAAAAAGCTACATTAAGGCAGCTAACTTATTATAGCTATTTATTCATATTATTGTTGTTTAATATATCTCTTCAATCAAGTGCTTTATTAATCCAAGGGGTAGTAGTAGTTGTTTTAGTAGTAGTGGTGGTGGTGGTGGTGGTGGTGGTAGTAGTATTTGTTGGTAGTAGTAGTTGTAGAGGAAACTTCTGTGTAGCTATGCAGTGGGAGTCACCGACTCAGGAAGGAGATACGGGAAGAGCAGTAGCTTTGATGTCAAACACATGATGGTTTATTTGGAGTTACGGCCGGAGGATTCACATCACAAGTCCAAGAGTCAGAGGTTCTGACTTCACGGTAGAGTTGCCACGTCAATTCTGAAGAACTCTACCCCAGACCCATGTATTTAGCTAGTACAGAGAGAATCATCAACATGCTGCATAACAAGATAGAATAATAACACCTCTATGAGCTGACGCCAACAGGCAGGAACAGGGAGACAAAACACTGAGAGCACAGCAGCCAAGGTTACAGGTGCCTGTGCTCAGTCAGGACAGTTTGAACTGATACACTGGGTCAAAGTTATGGGCCTTGGAAAATATTCCACAACAGTAGTGGTAGTAGTAGTAGTAGTTGTTTTAGTAGTAGTAGTAGTAGTAGTTGTTTTAGTAGTAGTAGTGATAGTAGTAGTAGTAGTATTTGCAGTAGTGGTAGTAGTAGTGGTGGTGGTAGTAGTATTTGTAGTAGTGGTGGTGGTGTAGTAGTAGTAGTATTTGCAGTAGTAGTAGTAGTAGTGGTAGTAGTAGTAGTAGTGGTGGTGGTAGTAGTAGTATTTGTAGTAGTAGTAGTAGTAGTGGTGGTGGTGGTGGTGGTGGTGTAGTAGTATTTGTAGTAGTGGTGGTGGTGGTAGTAGTAGTAGTAGTAGTAGTAGTGGTAGTAGTAGTGGTGGTAGTAGTAGTGGTGGTGGTAGTAGTAGTATTTGTAGTAGCGGTAGTAGTAGTAGTAGTAGTAGTGGTGGTGGTGGTGTGGTGGTGGTAGTAGTATTTGTAGTAGTGGTGGTGGTGGTAGTAGTAGTAGTAGTAGTAGTAGTGGTAGTAGTGGTGGTGGTGGTAGTAGTAGTATTTGTAGTAGTAGTAGTAGTGTGGTAGTAGTAGTAGTAGTGGTGGTAGTAGTAGTAGTATTTGTTGTGGTAGTAGTAGTAGTATTTGGTAGTAGTAGTAGTAGTGGTAGTAGTAAGTTGTTGGTGGTAGTAGTATTTGTTTGGTTATTTATTATTTGTAGTAGTATAGTAGTGGTTGGTTATAGTATTTAGTAGCGGTAGTAGTAGTAGTAGTGGTGGTAGTAGTAGTAGTATTTGTTGTGGTAGTAGTAGTAGTATTTGTAGTAGCGGTAGTAGTAGTAGTAGTGGTGGTAGTAGTATTTGTAGTAGCGGTAGTAGTGGTGGTGGTAGTAGTAGTAGTGGTGGTGGTGTAGTAGTAGTAGTGGTGGTAGTAGTAGTATTTGTAGTAGCGGTAGTAGTAGTAGTAGTGGTGGTAGTAGTAGTAGTATTTGTTGTGGTAGTAGTAGTAGTAGTAGTGGTGGTGGTAGTAGTAGTAGTAGTAGTAGTAGTAGTGGTGGTGGTGGTAGTAGTAGTAGTAGTAGTGGTGGTGGTAGTAGTAGTAGTAGTAGTAGTAGTATTAGTGGTAGTGGTAGTAGTGGTGGTAGTAGTAGTATTTGTAGTAGTATTAGTTGTAGCAGCAGTAGTGGTAGTTGTATTAGTTGTTGTAGCAGTAGTAGTAGTAGTAGCGGTGGTGGTAGTAGTAGTATTTGTAGTAGCGGTAGTAGTAGTAGTAGTGGTGGTAGTATTTGTTGTGGTAGTAGTAGTGGTGGTGGTAGTAGTAGTATTAGTTGTAGCAGCAGTAGTTGTAGCGGTAGTAGTAGTAGTAGTAGTAGTAGTGGTGGTAGTAGTAGTGATGGTAGTGGTAGTTGTATTAGTTGTTGTAGTAGTAGCAGCAGTAGTAGTAGTAGTGATGGTGATGGTAGTTGTATTAGTTGTAGTAGCAGTAGTAGTAGTAGTAGTAGTGGTTGTAGTAGTAGCAGTAGTAGTAGTAGTAGTAGTAGTGGTTGTAGTAGTAGCAGTAGTAGTAGTGGTGATGGTAGTGGTAGTTGTATTAGTTGTAGTAGCAGTAGTAGTAGTAGTAGTAGTAGTGGTTGTAGTAGTAGCAGTAGTAGTAGTAGTAGTAGTAGTGGTTGTAGTAGTAGTAGTAGTAGTAGTGGTGATGGTAGTGGTAGTTGTATTAGTTGTAGTAGCAGTAGTAGTAGTGGTGATGGTAGTGGTAGTTGTATTAGTTGTAGTAGCAGTAGTAGTAGTATCACTCGTGATCATTTAAAATGACATGTTATAAATAACTACATAAAAAGCCGGCATGTTAATGATCTTTTGGATCTTACTTTATATAACCGGACGTGAAAAAGAGGAACGTTCTCCCTGTTTAAACCCTGTTATTGAGACTCTTTACTTTAACATTGATTTCCTGTAGGTCGACAAGGAGCTGGCCACCGGAGAGTTCTTCCTGCGTGAAAGTGTGAAGAAGAGGAAGAAGATGGAGGAGGTCAAGGTGAGTGGATTCACCTCCTGCTGGTGGAGGAGCATCTTAATTAGCGTGATGTAGTTAAACAATCCTTACCTGACTGTCTTTATTTCTCTTTCTCAGGTGAAACAAGCCGAGGCGCTGACCAAGAAGCAGGAAGAGCGTAACAAGGCTTTCATTCCTCCTAAAGAGAAGCCCTTGATGAAGAAATCAGCTAAAGGTAGGAACACATCTTATTGTATATTCTTATTATATCCAGACATCAGGATACACAATGAGGTAGGGCTGTGCGATTATGGCAAAAATCATAATCACGATTATTTGGGTCAATAATTGATATCACGATTATTTTGACGATTATTCATTGACCATTTATTGAGCTTTAAAACAAATAATATTTTACCAATAAACAAGATCAATAAATGTGTTGGAGCACACTTCCAAAACCATACTAAACATATATTATTAATATGATAAATAAAAATGAATTAGACCAAAATAAATGAAATCAAACATGTTGCAGTGCACTGTCACAACCTACTGAACACTCCTTAACATATAGCCAACATTTTGGTAAAACATATTCAACATATTCCACTCAGTTAAACGTTGAAGGCTGGCCAACCGTCATGGTCCAGAAGTAACAGGAAATAAATATTGAACCACAATTTAAGACCAAATAAAAATGTTTAGGCCACCATGGCAAATGCTGGTAGGGCTGCTCATGTCATCTCTTAAAGATGCTTTTCAAGAAACACCAGCCTGTTTACATGGTCTGGTTTCAGAGATGAGCGCAGGCAGGGGACGATATTGCCACCTGTACTGAAGACCCTCAGCCACGCCCCGACACATGGGGTGACGCCGGCCAATCACAAAGCTTTGATGCGTTCAAGTGCATTATTCTGGCACAGGAAGATTATGTTACAGGACATTAACGATAAAACAGAATATTGTTGTTCTATTTTTAGACACATCTCGCGATCGACTGGTTGGGCACCCCTGGGCTAGACCATAGGTCTGTTGTGGTGGCCAAGTAGTCACGGCATTTGTCACATAGCGCAGGTAGCGCAGACCTGCTGAAATAATACCGAGACGGCATCGCGTAACGCTTGTCCAACGTGTTGACAAGTTGCTTAAAGCCCTGGTTGCTAACAGTGCTAACTGGGCACATATCTTTAGCGATGTGAAATGTAAAGGCAAAGTACTTACAAATAGTGGAAATAGTTGTACCCTTCTTTTTAACGAGTTGCTGCTCTTGTTCTGACATCTTCGCTCGCGCTGAACACTCACAACACATGTCACTCCCACGTGGCCGAGTGGGCTTTTAGGGAGGGGCGAAAGCGCACCCAGCAAAATAATCGTATTTAGTCAATTATGCTGTTTTCATAATCGTCGCAAGCCATAATCGCGATTAAAATACGATTAATTGCACAGCCCTACAATGAGGTCGTCCTTACCACCCCGTCTCTAGACGTTTTTAAAGAGGTGCTATTCTGCTTGTTGTGGGTTTTCCCTTTCCTGTAGTGTTATATAGGTTTTAGTGCATGTAAATGGTCTGTAAAGGCTAAAATCCACCACTATACAACACTCACGCCTCTATTGGTTAGCGCTCATTGTACATCATAGGCTAAGGGACGGGACATCTCTCTTACTATGTGGTTTCATAAAGAGCATTTAGTTACTGAGTTAAAGGTCCCCTAGTATACTGTTTTTCAACAATATATTATAGGTCTCAGATATATACAAAACATGTCTCTTAAGTGTTTTAAAACACCAAACAGATCATTGCAGCATCCCATAATCCCCTCTGTTTCAGCCCTGTTTCAAAAGTGCTGATTCTGTGTCTGTAGCTTTAAATGCTAATGAGCTGCTGCTGGCCACGCCCCTCTGAGAGAGGTTTGGTTACAAAGAACTCAATGGTGCTCTAGGAGGAGATTCAGGTGATAAGGGGGGGGGGGGGTACCTTGGTTGCTGATTGGCTAATGGTTACACAAGACAAAACATCGTTATGACATCATCAAGTGGCCAAAATCTGATCAGCTCATTTTCAGACAGGTTTTTATAGAAATGGATCAAAAAGAGAGAGAATCTTTGTTCCTGAAACTTTCAGAGTCTCTTTCCACAGAGGGGACACATGTTGATGTAGAAGAGACATGAAGAAGAGGGGACACATGTTGATGTAGAAGAGACATGAAGAAGAGGGGACACATGTTGATGTAGAAGAGACATGAAGAAGAGGGGACACATGTTGATGTAGAAGAGACATGAAGAAGAGGGGACACATGTTGATGTAGAAGAGACATGAAGAAGAGGGGACACATGTTGATGTAGAAGAGACATGAAGAAGAGGGGACACATGTTGATGTAGAAGAGACATGAAGAAGAGGGGACACATGTTGATGTAGAAGAGACATGAAGAAGAGGGGACACATGTTGATGAAGAAGAGACGTGAAGAAGAGGGGACACATGTTGATGTAGAAGAGACATGAGGAAGAGGGGACACATGTTGATGTAGAAGAGACATGAAGAAGAGGGGACACATGTTGATGTAGAAGAGACATGAGGAAGAGGGGACACATGTTGATGTAGAAGAGACATAAAGAAGAGGGGACACATGTTGATGTAGAAGAGACATGAAGAAGAGGGGACACATGTTGATGTAGAAGAGACGTGAAGAAGAGGGGACACATGTTGATGTAGAAGAGACATAAAGAAGAGGGGACACATGTTGATGTAGAAGAGACATAAAGAAGAGGGGACACATGTTGATGTAGAAGAGACATGAAGAAGAGGGGACACATGTTGATGTAGAAGAGACATGAAGAAGAGGGGACACATGTTGATGTAGAAGAGACATGAAGAAGAGGGGACACATGTTGATGTAGAAGAGACATGAAGAAGAGGGGACACGTGTTGATGTAGAAGAGACATGAAGAAGAGGGGACACGTGTTGATGTAGAAGAGACATGAAGAAGAGGGGACACATGTTGATGTAGAAGAGACATGAAGAAGAGGGGACACGTGTTGATGTAGAAGAGACATGAAGAAGAGGGGACACGTGTTGATGTAGAAGAGACATGAAGAAGAGGGGACACGTGTTGATGAAGAAGAGACATGAAGAAGAGGGGACACGTGTTGATGTAGAAGAGACATGAAGAAGAGGGGACACGTGTTGATGTAGAAGAGACATGAAGAAGAGGGGACACGTGTTGATGTAGAAGAGACATGAAGAAGAGGGGACACGTGTTGATGTAGAAGAGACATGAAGAAGAGGGGACACGTGTTGATGTAGAAGAGACGTGAAGAAGAGGGGACACATGTTGATGTAGAAGAGACGTGAAGAAGAGGGGACACATGTTGATGTAGAAAATACATGAAGAAGTGGATAATAGGTGACCTTTATCACGATTTATTACATGGCTTAGTTGAATACTCGATTCTGATTGGTCAATTCAGAACACGTGACACGTTGTTAATACCGAACAGACAGACCGCTGTCAAGGACTTATTGACCGTTGTTAAGGACGCTCACATCTTCAGAAAGAAGTCCGGTCGATTTAACTATACCGTTGGGCCGAAAAGCAAACTGCATGCAGTTTGCTTTTCGAACTGGGACATGAAAATCAGCGCAGAAGTAACGGGGCAGAAACCCTCCTTTTTACGCAGCGGTCCAGACATAGACATCAAACGGCGACACATATTCAGTTGCCAGGTCCTTTGGCATTAGGGCAGGGATATCTAGATACTTTCCAAGGTTTGACATCATGAATTGTGCTACTTTTAAAGCAAGCAGCGATGTTTTCAAATCTGTAATCAAAAAGCTCCTCAAAAACGCTATCGAAGCAGTTCCTGCCGTTGCTACGTTAGTTCAAACAGTAACAACGGACTACTTTTCTTAGCGGATGCATGTCAATTTAAATACATACAACTGTTTTTTAAATCAATAAAATAATTTTCTAAATCCATAAAAGCATTTCAATTAATATTGGGAGTCATAACGTTACTTTGTTGAGAATGTGGCCGTGTAATAAGCGGGATAATGTGCAGCGACTTGGTCATTATGGGGAAAAGAACACCTTCATGCCGATCTAGATCGCTCCGCTTCGCGTCGGGCTCCTGATCAGCCTGTCGGTGTTCTTTTCCCCATAATGACCGCGTCGCTGCACATTATCCCTTACATATAACACACTTTGCCACCTGCTAACCTCTCCTTTGTTTTTGCCACAGTTTCTACAGAAGGAAAGCTGGACATCGAGGCCTTAAAGGAGAAAGTGAAAAAAGCCAAAACTAAGAGACTGGGGGCTCCACCAGTGAACCCAGCGCCCCCCCCCAGTGGCAACATGAACAAAAAGCAAAGGAGCAAAACAAAAAAGAAACGCTAACCACACACTCACACAGCAAGGAGTCACAAAGTGTGTGTGTGTTTGGATCAATGGACGTTTCTGAACGACTCTAAATACCGAGAAATATTTCGAGCTACTTTTGTAATAAGGATTTCCTGTTCGTATTACTAATCGAGACCAATTCTCAGTCGAAGAGAGAGATGTGTGAGAGCAAACATTTCCTTTTTTCTTTCTCATACAGTTCCTGGTTTTGTATAGGTGTAAAAAACGTACTGCTCTACTTCCCTATGTGTGTTCAGGCAGATTGAAACTGATGGAAATGTAAAAATAAAGACATGTTTTTAATCAGAATCGGGTTTATTGTTACTGCGTTTACACTTTTATATATACAGTCTATGGTTTACACATACAAGGGATTTGCTTCGGTGTATGGTGGTGCGAACATAAGGAAATACGGTCATAAATATCACGATTATACAAATTCCTTCAGCTCGATCCACCAACAGGAGTTATTTGGCTGTTTACTTTAGTTTCCCTCCAAAACATGCGAGTCTGATGGATGAAATCTATGGCAAGCAGTGTCCCTTTTAAAGAGGTAAGCAGGTTAAATGCATTCACAATTATATCACAAGTCTTAAAAGCTTGAATATAGAAAAACACGGTGTAAATTAGCTCCATCTTCAACTAAGTCAAGGGTGTTTAACTTATTTCAAGGACCCTGTGCCGCCAAATTTGATCTAAAGTGGCCACATAAGCAGTAAAATCATAGCATGAAAACCTATAATAACTAAATAAGTTGAATTTCAACAGTTTAATACGTCTGATTATCATTTACTCATTACTCAGTGTATCTACAAAAACATGTAGTCATCGATATCTGGAACTGAACACTATATAGTATTTAACTTTATGATCAAAACAACAAGATCTAGAACTTTTTACATTCATTTCCACATCTGTGTATCAATCCTGAACCATGCAAACTTGAGTGGGAACTGTTAGGGAAGAAGGGGTAGATATCCCACCTTTTCAGAGGTGTAAAGTAACTACGTAGATTTACTCAAGTACTGTACTTAAGTAAAATGTTTAGGTACTTTCAGTTGGGTATTTCCATTGTATGCTACTTTGTACTTTTCCTCCACTACATGTATTGAATACCTTTAGTTACTTTACAGATGTGGATGAATGATGTGAAATATAATCAAGTGTTAAATCAGACTTTAGTTCCACCTGGAGTAAATCCACAAGCTACCCTGCAGTATACAAAGTCATTCAAACTAGCTGCACCTTTACCAGCTTTGAGAACACTTTAATGATCAATCATTATAAAACATATCATATATATTATTCTGAAATGGACCAATCTGCACAATGACTGCTTTTACTTTCACTATATTTTGATGAGAATACTTTCCTACTTTTACTTGAGGAACATTTTGAATGCAGGACTTTTACTGTAACAGAGTATTCCTACACTCTGGTACTTCTACTTTGACTCAAGTACAAGATCTGAGTACTTCTACTTTGACTCAAGTACAAGATCTGAGTACTTCTACTTTTACTCAAGTACAAGATCTGAGTACTTCTACTTTTACTCAAGTACAAGATCTGAGTACTTCTACTTTTACTCAAGTACAAGATCTGAGTACTTCTACTTTTACTCAAGTACAAGATCTGAGTACTTCTCCCACCTTTTTTACACTTTGCAAAGTAACCGCCGTACATTTGACACCCCCGATCTGAGCCCTTTAATAAATAAGACCATGAACACCACAGTGGTTTTACTCGTAGAAGAAGACATTTGGATAGAAGTGGTGCACAGCGAATGCAGCGATGAAGGTGACGACGAGTGCAAGAGGGCGGACGATTAAAACGGGAACGTAGTCGCTGTTAGAAGTAGCCGGATCCCAATCTGGGGTCCATCTGTAACCTGAGAGCACATATTAAATATGATTATTATTAATCAATAAAACAGACAATGGAGACACGTGAAATGGGACATCCTAATGAGCTATAGGAAGCTTTAGAAGAGGGGCCAGAAATAAACAACTATATAGCGGTCCAGACATAGACATCAAACAGCGACACATATTCAGTTGCCAGTTACTTTGGCATTAGGGCAGGGATATCTAGATACTTTCCAAGGTTTGACATCATGAATTGTGCTGCTTTTAAAGCAAGCAACGACTCTCAACACTCAGATGAAAGGGAGCTGTATACTTTTCAATAATCAAAAAATCTTTAGAATATGATCACAACCAATAACAAATCATTTAAACTTGTTCATTCTTATGTTATGTTACCTATAGTATTCTTTCTTTTTATTTATGCATATTTTACTAATCACTCCCCTTTCAAATAGTTTTTTTTGTACTGTCCTATAGTAGCCTACACATTGGAATGATTTCTTTATTTTGTACAACACATTAAATAGATAAAGGTGTGCTCTCAGAGGCTGTGTGCTCCTCCGTGGCGATGACGGCTTGCGTTAAAAAAAAAAAACATATTTGTAAAGTGGGGGCTATTGAGGGCTTGCGAGATACCGGTAGCTCGTGATCGACGTGTTGGAGACCCCTGCTCTAATGGGTCCAACTAGAATGACAAATATCGTTACTTCCGCCTATTCCGTCAGCCAATAAATCGTTTCGTTTTTTTTCATTTTTAGGGGGGCCACAGGGGGGGTCCAAAGTCAGTGTTAGGGGGGCACTGGCCCCCCTAGAACCGCCCCTGAATGTGGCCATGTAATAAGCGGGATAATGTGCAGCAAGTGTGCAGGTGTGCGTCATATGAGAGGCCCCGCCTCACATTTTCCGCCACAGATTGGGGAAATTGGTCCGTGCGCAAAGCATTGTGGGGATTTTAAGACCGCGGAGTCTACACATGTGCAGCCTCGAAATTTCTCCAAACGAAGTACGCCGGGCTCGGTAGAAATCCAAGTAGGCCTATGCTGGACATTGGATTCGAACAGTACTTCGACGGCACTCGATTACGTAGTATGCTTGAAATAGTGGCTCTGGAGCAGCCTTCCTCGACATTGAGAAACACCCACAGTTTTCCGAATGCCAGGAAGTATTCTTGCCTCGCTTCTGAAGCAAGTGACTCGGAAGACATGTGCTACCAAGCAAGCGTACTCGACATTGAGAAACACCCCGGGTATATACATTCACTCCGTATATATACTATAAAAAGGTACACATTTGTTGGTGATCTGTTACTAAAAACCTAATTCAAAAGGAGAATATTAAGTACTTTTTGCATCACTAAACGTGGATACTTACGGCAGAGATTGTCCACACAGGTGCCATTACATCCCGAGCAGCTGGACCCTGGACTATAGGGTTTCCTCCCGTTAAAATTACCCCTGCACAGATGAGACACAATGGTGAGGTGTGAAATGTGACAGCCTGATAAACTCTACAAAGCTTCAGAATAGGGGCCAAGACACTTAACATAAACTAATTACAATATACATTAATGATACGTCTAGAAATGTACAATGTTCCCATGAAAAGATCAAAATCATTTAGTCCATCTCTCAATACTTTCTGATTTCTGTAATGAGCTCTCAGTCTCGAGCCCATTGGTTCATCCTTAAAACTTTACAAATGATCGACAAATAGACTCTTTTAAAAACAAGTCACTGCTTCAGCAAGTGGTTGACACCTTCCTTTGTAAACAGGGCACCAGAGCGGATGCTTAACCACATCCTCAAACACCCTGAGAGCAATGTTGAGAGGTATGAAGGAAAATACCCAAGTTGAAAAAACAATTTGTATAGATTATGATTAACAAGAGGACGTATACTTTAAAGAGTCCTCTCCTGCTCATGTTCAGGTGTATATCAGTATGTAGTGTCTCTACTTTAAAGAGTCCTCTCCTGCTGATGTTCAGGTGTGTATCAGTATGTAGTGTCTCTACTTTAAAGAGTCCTCTCCTGCTGATGTTCAGGTGTATATCAGTATGTAGTGTCTCTACTTTAAAGAGTCCTCTCCTGCTGATGTTCAGGTGTTTATCAGTATGTAGTGTCTCTACTTTAAAGAGTCCTCTCCTGCTGATGTTCAGGTGTATATCAGTATGTAGTGTCTCCATGCTTTAATGTTCAAAAAGCTCTTTATTTTTCTCATACTGTCTGTGCTGCAGCACCTCTTTTCACCCTCTGTCTGAAACCAGAGCCCCGTCTGCTCTGATTGGTTAGCTGACCGGCTCTGTTGTGATTGGTCAACCTCTTAGAGATGTCCCGCCCCTTAGCCCATCACGCACAATATGTTGAAGCACGAGTGTTACATAGTGATGTTGCTATGTTCCGGAAATGTTGGGATTTTGGCGTTAGTAGACCATTTACATGCACACATACACTACAGGATAGGGGTTTCTCTTTATAAATACCACTGTTGGAGTGATTTCAACGGTAGGTCTGTGTGTACTTACGCAGTGGCATAGTTGCACACAAAGATAGCCCCCTCTCTAGAAGCAAAGCTTGTGCGTTCGACTCCGTTCGGGCACAGCTGCACGGCACAGCCAACCTTGTAGCTGCTCGCCCACACAACCTGAAGGACATCCGAGCAAAGGGTTCAAATGTGTGACTAAATATAAAAACATCACGATCAGTTCCTCTTTGCTTGTTGCCTCATGAGATCTCTTGAAAAACATTTCCCCAAAAGGAACGATCTTTGTTTCGACAGAAGTGTGCACATCACAATACTTCATTAGTCCTAAAGAGGGGACATGTATTTGTTAGAGAGGCATGCATACAATATGGGAGAAGGTGAAGTAACAGTATTATTAAAATAAGTGTAGCATGTAGAAATAGTGTGATAGCAGCCGGACAGTGAAAATAAAAGTATATATTGCACAGTTTTTAAAGATTGTGTTACAGTATTTGAATAGTCTAAATAAGAGATAGCAGCCAGTAGAGGTGGGAGAAGTACTCAGATCTTGTACTTGAGTAAAAGTAGAAGTACTCAGATCTTGTACTTGAGTAGAAGTAGAAGTACCAGAGTGTAGGAATACTCTGTTATAAATAAAAGTATGTGTTCAAAATGTTACTTAAGTAAAAATACAAAAGTATTCTCATCAAAATATACTTAAAGTACCAAAAGTAAAAGTAGTCATTGTGCAGATTGGTCCATTTTAAGCACCAGTTATCTTTTAATTATTTGATTGATTTTATACAAATTATTTGTGCATTCATTTGTTCTTCCCTTAAATGTTGCACTTAATAAAGGTGGGGTTTATTTAAATTACTTTACACACTACTGGGTAGCCTATAATAATATATAATATTGTGTGTGGATTTATATTTTCTATTATTACCTACATCTGCAAAGTAACTAGTACCTAAATATGTAATATAAAGTAACAAAGTACCTACATGTTGTATTTAAGTACAGTACATTATACCACTATAATATATATATTGAATATACCTGTGTGTAGTGGCCACAGACGCCTGAGCAGCTGTTTTGATGAAAGTTGTATTTGTGTACTTCATCCACCCAACTTTTGATTGCACTCTTCACGTTGAAATGTGACGCGGGGGATCCAGCCCAGAGGTTTTCTCCCACAGAGGAGAAGGTAGCATGCATACGGCGGACATCTTTGAGGTCTACGTTGTGTTCAAACAAACAGTTCCTCGCCCACGCTGCTGCAGTGATGGCAAGACCCTCGTCCCACGTCTGATACACAGAGAATATAAAGCAGCTTCCTCTCAATCAGACACTTATTTAGCTCCATAAAGCTTAGGCTAAATAACTAAATAACATAATATCATCTTCTCACTTACTCTCAATTTGTCCAGGATTTAAAAAACGGCCCCAAAACAAGCAGAGGTTGGAAGTAACTAAGTAGATTTACTCAAGTACTGTATTTAATTACAATGTGATACTTGTCTTCACTCAAGTATCTCCATGTTATGCTACTCTGTACTTCTACTCCACTACATCTCAGAGGTAGATGGTGTACTTTTACTCCACTACATGTATTTAATACCTTCAGTTACTTTACAGATGTGGATGAATGATGTGCAATCTAATCAAGTGTTAAATCAGACTTTAGTTCCACCTGGAGTAAATCCACAAGCTCTGCAGTATACAAAGTACTTCAAACTAGCTGCACCTTTACCAGCTTTGAGAACACTTTCATGATTGCATTGTGGGACATTAGTGCAAAACCACACACTGATCTGTCTGTTTTTAATATGCTTAACATTGCCACTTTTCCCATGTTGCTACTGTACACGCTTCCCCCATCCAACCATTATAACATCTATACTTACGACACAAGTCTACTGGGAAAACAACAACATCAAAAGAATAAAACGGGCAACCATTGAGTGTGAAATGATCATAATGTATGTTGTGGATTTACTGGGTTATTGTTCAATAATGAGGAACTTATCACATGACTTCTCCATCAAAGTGCTTTCACAACTCAGTTGTAGTAATCTCTTTCTGACAACAGGTGCATTTTGAAAGTAACGACCATCCCAACCTTCTCTCACGACTCCATCACTAAGCTTGGTCTCCCTTTTTACTTAAATCTATACCAAATCATCATATTTGAAAAGCTGAATTTATAAAGTAACTTACATCAATCTGTAGAATAAATTAGGTGGAGTAAAAAGTGCAAAATTGGCTGCCAAAATGTAGTGGAGTACACAGTAGTACAAAATGAAAATGCCCGGGTGAAGTACAAGTACCTCCGTTGATTAAATGTACTTAGTTACTTTCCACCACTGATTTAGAGCTTAATTGTCTACCCTTATGGAGGTTAACTTTGTCTTTGAGGTGTCGATGACTTCATTTAATCACTGCACGTCTGTCAGTTAGTCATCCGTGTGAGACAGATGATAATTAAATACCAATGATGCCTACCATGAACAGCATGTCACGTGCAGGTGGATTGACGGTTGACCGCGCCCTGTTGTGTTCCTCCAAACATTCAATAACAAACCTCTTTGAAGTGTTTTCTGGAAGTGAGTCCGAACACACCCTTGAGTGTTTAATAATCCAGGCCCACAGGAACATCTGCACCACCCTCGCCATGCTGAGAAGAAGCAAACGCTCCAGGCAGAGTGTGTGGTTTTTGAAAGGAAGTAAAACAGGAAATGAACACTCAAGAGGAACAGGAAGAATGTTTCTGAGCAGCGGTAAACATCTGCAACTCACACCATGAGCAAAACAAAGGTACTACAGTGAGTGTGATGTAAAGAGGCAGAGAAACGCTAAATGTCCATTGTATGAAAGCATTATTTCTACGCGAGTTTAACTTATGATTTGCCTTCTTATATGTAAAAAAAAACGACCCTGTGGACCTCTACTTTAAAGAGTCCTCTCCTGCTGATGTTCAGGTGTATATCAGTATGTACTGTCTCTACTTTAAAGAGTCCTCTCCTGCTGATGTTCAGGTGTATATCAGTATGTAGTGTCTCTACTTTATAGAGTCCTCTCCTGCTGATGTTCAGGTGTATATCCGTATGTAGTGTCTCTACTTTAAAGAGTCCTCTCCTGCTGATGTTCAGGTGTATATCAGTAGGTAGTGTCTCTACTTTAAAGAGTCCTCTCCTGCTGATGTTCGGTGTATATCAGTATGTAGTGTCTCTACTTTAAAGAGTCCTCTCCTGCTGATGTTCAGGTGTATATCAGTATGTAGTGTCTCTATTTTAAAGAGTCCTCTCCTGCTAATGTTCAGGTGTATATCAGTATGTAGTATCTCTATTTTAAAGAGTCCTCTCCTGCTGATGTTCAGGTGTATATCAGTATGTAGTGTCTCTATTTAAAGAGTCCTCTCCTGCTGATGTTCAGGTGTATATCAGTATGTAGTGTCTCTACTTTAAAGAGTCCTCTCCTGCTGATGTTCAGGTGTATATCAGTATGTAGTGTCTCTATTTTAAAGAGTCCTCTCCTGCTGATGTTCAGGTGTATATCAGTATGTAGTGTCTCTACTTTAAAGAGTCCTCTCCTGCTGATGTTCAGGTGTATATCAGTATGTAGTGTATCTACTTTAAAGAGTCCTCTCCTGCTGATGTTCAGGTGTATATCAGTATGTAGTGTCTCTACTTTAAAGAGTCCTCTCCTGCTGATGTTCAGGTGTATATCAGTATGTAGTGTCTCTACTTTAAAGAGTCTCGCTCCTGCTGATGTTCAGGTGTATATCAGTATGTGGTGTCTCTACTTTAAAGAGTCCTCTCTTGCTGATGTTCAGGTGTATATCAGTATGGAGTGTCTCTACTTTAAAGAGTCCTCTCCTGCTGATGTTCAGGTGTATATCAGTATGTAGTGTCTCTACTTTAAAGAGTCCTCTCCTGCTGATGTTCAGGTGTATATCAGTAGGTAGTGTCTCTACTTTAAAGAGTCCTCTCCTGCTGATGTTCAGGTGTATATCAGTATGTAGTGTCTCTACTTTAAAGAGTCCTCTCCTGCTGATGTTCAGGTGTATATCAGTATGTAGTGTCTCTACTTTAAAGAGTCCTCTCCTGCTGATGTTCAGGTGTATATCAGTATGTAGTGTCTCTACTTTAAAGAGTCCCTCTCCTGCTGATGTTCAGGTGTATATCAGTATGTAGTGTCTCTACTTTAAAGAGTCCTCTCCTGCTGATGTTCAGGTGTATATCAGTATGTAGTGTCTCTACTTTAAAGAGTCCTCTCCTGCTGATGTTCAGGTGTATATCAGTATGTAGTGTCTCTACTTTAAAGAGTCCTCTCCTGCTGATGTTCAGGTGTATATCAGTATGTAGTGTCTCTACTTTAAAGAGTCCTCTCCTGCTGATGTTCAGGTGTATATCAGTATGTAGTGTCTCTACTTTAAAGAGTCCTCTCCTGCTGATCTTCAGGTGTATATCAGTATGTAGTGTCTCTACTTTAAAGAGTCCTCTCCTGCTGATGTTCAGGTGTATATCAGTATGTAGTGTCTCTACTTTAAAGAGTCCTCTCCTGCTGATGTTCAGGTGTATATCAGTGTGTAGTGTCTCTACTTTAAAGAGTCCTCTCCTGCTGATGTTCAGTTGTATATCAGTATGTAGTGTCTCTACTTTAAAGAGTCCTCTCCTGCTGATGTTCAGCTGCATATCAGTATGTAGTGTCTCTATTTTAAAGAGTCCTCTCCTGCTGATGTTCAGGTGTATATCAGTATGTAGTGTCTCTACTTTAAAGAGTCCTCTCCTGCTGATGTTCAGGTGTATATCAGTATGTAGTGTATCTACTTTAAAGAGTCCTCTCCTGCTGATGTTCAGGTGTATATCAGTATGTAGTGTCTCTACTTTAAAGAGTCCTCTCCTGCTGATGTTCAGGTGTATATCAGTATGTAGTGTCTCTACTTTAAAGAGTCCTCTCCTGCTGATGTTCAGGTGTATATCAGTATGTAGTGTCTCTACTTTAAAGAGTCCTCTCCTGCTGATGTTCAGGTGTATATCAGTATGTAGTGTCTCTACTTTAAAGAGTCCTCTCCTGCTGATGTTCAGGTGTATATCAGTATGTAGTGTCTCTACTTTAAAGAGTCCTCTCCTGCTGATGTTCAGGTGTATATCAGTATGTAGTGTCTCTACTTTAAAGAGTCCTCTCCTGCTGATGTTCAGGTGTATATCAGTATGTAGTGTCTCTACTTTAAAGAGTCCTCTCCTGCTGATGTTCAGGTGTATATCAGTATGTAGTGTCTCTACTTTAAAGAGTCCTCTCCTGCTGATGTTCAGGTGTATATCAGTATGTAGTGTCTCTACTTTAAAGAGTCCTCTCCTGCTGATGTTCAGGTGTATATCAGTATGTAGTGTCTCTACTTTAAAGAGTCCTCTCCTGCTGATGTTCAGGTGTATATCAGTATGTAGTGTCTCTACTTTAAAGAGTCCTCTCCTGCTGATGTTCAGGTGTAATATCAGTATTTAGTCTCTACTTTAAGAGTCCTCTCCTGCTGATGTTCGGTGTATATCAGTATGTAGTGTCTCTACTTTAAAGAGTCCTCTCCTGCTGATGTTCAGGTGTATATCAGTGTGTAGTGTATCTACTTTAAAGAGTCCTCTCCTGCTGATGTTCCAGGTGTATATCAGTAATGTAGTGTCTACTACTTTAAAGAGTCCCTCTCCTGCTGATGTTCAGGTGTATATCAGTATGTAGTGTCTCTACTTTAAAGAGTCCTCTCCTGCTGAGTGTTCAGGTGTATATCAGTATGTAGTGTCTCTGCTTTAAAGAGTCCTCTCCTGCTGATGTTCAGGTGTTATATCAGTATGTAGTGTGCCTCTACTTTAAAGAGTCCTCTCTGCTGATGTTAAGGTGTATATCAGTATGTAGTGTCTCTACTTAAAGATCCTCTCCTGCTTGATGTTCAGGTGTATATCAGTATTTAGTGTCTCTACTTTAAAGAGTCCTCTCCTGCTGATGTTCAGGTGTATATCAGTATGTAGGGTCTCTACTTTAAAGAGTCCTCTCCTGCTGATGTTCAGGTGTATATCAGTATGTAGTGTCTCTACTTTAAAGAGTCCTCTCCTGCTGATGTTCAGGTGTATATCAGTATGTAGTGTCTCTTGCTTTAAAGAGTCCTCTCCTGCTGATGTTCAGGTGTATATCAGTATGTAGTGTCTCTACTTTAAAGAGTCCTCTCCTGCTGATGTTCAGGTGTATATCAGTATGTAGTGTCTCTACTTTAAAGAGTCCTCTCCTGCTGATGTTCAGGTGTATATCAGTATGTAGTGGTCTCTACTTAAAGAGTCCTCTCCTGCTGATGTTCAGGGTGTGTATCAGTATGTAGTGTCCTCTACTTTAAAGAGTCCTCTCCTGCTGATGTTCAGGTGTATATCAGTATGTAGTGTCTCTACTTTAAAGAGTCCTCTCTTGCTGATGTTCAGGTGTATATCAGTATGTAGTGTCTCTACTTTAAAGAGTCCTCTCCTGATGATGTTCAGGTGTATATCAGTATGTAGTCTCTACTTTAAAGAGTCCTCTCCTGCTGATGTTCAGGTGTGTATCAGTATGTAGTGTCTCTACTTTAAAGAGTCCTCTCCTGCTGATGTTCAGGTGTATATCAGTATGTAGTGTCTCTACTTTAAAGAGTCCTCTCTTGCTGATGTTCAGGTGTATATCAGTATGTAGTGTCTCTACTTTAAAGAGTCCTCTCCTGCTGATGCTCAGGTGTATATCAGTATGTAGTGTCTCTACTTTAAAGAGTCCTCTCCTGCTGATGTTCAGGTGTATATCAGTATTTAGTCTCTACTGGGACTACAGCCCAAAAAGCTCAATAAGGCCTCTTTAAAGTTACAGTAAGAAACACTTGTATGTCAGATATTATTCCTTCCTTTGTTAAATATGTTTAGTTATCAATTGATTATTATTGTTGACATGATTAATACTTAACAAAGAAACCCTTAGTGTAATCCTTCACCCTCACTCTTACACTCACATCAATACAAGGTTCAAGGTTCTTTATTGTCAAACTAACAGAGTAATTATGACGTTGACAATCTTAGGTCACAGGCTTCTCCAACAATGCAACACAATAATACAGATAAGCAGACAATATTAAAACAATATTAAAGTATATTAAAAGTAATACAAAAAAGTGGAATAGAGCAATACGAGTCTATATAAGTTATTGGAATGATATATTAGATAATAGATGAATAATTACTAAGTAACAGATGAATGTTATGAAATTGTTTCAGCAGTATCAATATTATTACATTGATACTTTTTCATTTTCAGGTAAGATTTCTATGCTTCACCAGAACCAGGATATTTTCAGAAAAACACTCCATGTCTCCACATACAGTGCTAATTAAATATGGACTATAAATACCTATAACATTATCAAAACTTATACTTCATTGATACCAACACACCACCCTGATAACCAATCAAAAGCGTGTTGAATGCCCCTGATTGTATATACATGTAATTATATAAAAGACAACATTGGACTAATTAGCAATGATTGCACTTTTTGGGGTTTTTAGATAGATAGATAGAATATGTATCACACATACATGAACACAGCACACACACTGACATTTAGTCTCTGCTTTTTATCCAACCTTTTTCCACGTTTGCTCTTCAATGTTAACTAGGAATCAGACGTGTTTCACATAGTGTTTCAATTCAACTTAAAGGTCCCCTATTATACTGTTTTTAATCAATATAGGTCTCATATATATACAAAACATGTCTCTGAAGTGTTTGGCTCCAAACATCAAACACATCATTGCAGCATTACCCATAATCCCCCTCTGTTTCAGCCCTGTTTCCAAAGTGCTGATTCTCTGTCTGTTACTTTAGATGAAAATAAGGAGCCCCTCCCCACGCCCCTCTGAGAGAGATTTGGTTACAAAGAACTCAATGGAGCTCTAGGAGGAGATTCAGGTGATAAGGGGGGGGGGGTTACCTTGGTTGCCTGATTGGCTAATGGTTTA